CGTAGTCGTAGTCGTAGTCGTCGTCGCAGTCGTAGTCGCAGTAGGAGGAGTAGTAGTAGTAGTAGTTAGTAGTAGTAGTAGTAGTAGGAGGAGTAGTAGGAGTAGTAGTAGTAGGTCGTGGCAGTAGAAGTGCTGGCAGTAGTAGTAGTAGTAGTAGTAGTAGTAGTAGTAGTCGTTGTCGTCGTTGTCGTAGTGGTGGTAGCGGTGGTAGTTTAGTAGTGGTGGTAGCGGTGGTAGTGGTTGTAGGTAGTAGTAGGTAGAAGTGGTAGTAGTGGTAGTAGGGGTAGTAGGGGTAGTAGGGGTAGTAGGGGGAGTAGGGGTAGTAGGGGTAGTGAGGGTCGTAGGGGTAGTAGGGGTAGTAGGGTAGTAGGGGTAGTACCGGTAGTTGGGGTAGTGAGGGTCGCAGGGGTAGTAGGGGTAGTAGGGGTAGTAGGGGTAGTAGGGGTAGTAGGGGTAGTAGGGGTAGTAGGGGTAGTAGGTAGTAGTAGGTAGTAGTAGGTAGTAGTTAGTAGATTGGCTTCGCGTGACCTCCAGGAAGAGTTTTTGACGAGACGACCTTCCGGAGAGATATCAAATCTGAGGTGCCATGACAGGCGGGGTCACTAGCTGCGACTAGCTATTTTGAGCTCCCACTTTGAGTTCCATCAAGTTGACAAGAAGCAGCATGCCGTGAGCCTGCTATGCTTCTCCCGCCTGCTTGATCAATTCAGTTTGTATTTCCTTCAGATTATCCATGTAGTTTGTAGTTTCTTCATGCCAAGTTGCTACCTAGCTTTTGAGTGTCTTTGCGTGTATGTATATAAAAACATGTTTTTGCTATTGTTTATTTTTAAGTTATGATCAACGGAAGTTTCATGGAGGAAACACCGAGTTACGGATGGTTTTATTCACACTAGCCCAAAGATCATTGTGTCCAGTTGGCATGTGCCTTAAGAGATCATGAAGTCACATTCTCACTAGCGAAGAGATCACTGTGTCCGGTTGGCACGTGCCTTAAGCGATCATGAAGTCACATTCTCATTAGCCCAGTCATTGTGTCCAGTTGGCATGTGCCTTGAGATCATGAAGCCACATTCTCACTAGCCCAGAGATCATTGTGTCCAGTTGGCATGTGCCTTGGGGGATCATGACGTCACCTTCTTAGCCCCAAGATCGCTGTGTCCAGTTGGCATGTGCCTTAGGAGATCATGAAGTCACTTTCTATTGTGTCCAGTTGGCATGTGCCTTGGGGGATCATGACGTCACTTTCTTACTGGCCCCAAGATCGCTGTGTCCAGTTGGCATGTGCCTTAGGAGATCATGAAGTCACTTTCTATTGTGTCCAGCTGGCATGTGCCTTCGGAAATCATGAAGTCTCTTTCTCACTAGCCCGGAGATCATTGCGTCCAGTTGGCATGTGCCTTAAGAGATCATGACGTCACATTCTCACTAGCCCCGAAAGGTACTTGGTCTCCAGTAGTGTCTTGCGATTGTATTGTGTTTTGCAAATCACTCTTGGCAGATTGCAGTGGAACTGCTACATCATGGATGCGGAGACAAGTAGGCTCGCGCGCGCGACGGTCTCAGGCGTCGTCGCTTTGCCGTGGAATCTTGCTCGAAATGCGCACACAGTGGAACTGAGGGTTCCAAGCGACTTTTTCTCTTCTTTGCTGCTGCTGTGCTTTTGTGTTTTGCATGTGTTGAGACACTTTGTGCATTGGAACTGGTGCATCACAGCGATGTGCTCTACAGTAGCGCATTGCAATTCTATTGTGTTTGGCAACTCAGTCTCTCAGATCGCAGTGGAATGGCTGCATCAGGGTGTCTCGAAAGGTACTTGGTCCCCAGTAGTGTCTTGCGATTGTATTGTGTTTTGCAATTCCTTCTTGGCAGATCGCAGTGGAACTGCTACATCATGGATGCGATTTGAATGTTAGGATTTGCACGAAACATTGTGTTTTTTTCGGGCAAACGAAGGTTCCTTTGCGGAGATAAGTCGGCTCGCGCGCGATGGTCTCAGGCGTCGTCGCTTTGCCGTGGATTCTTGCTCGGAATGCCCACACAGTGGAACTGATGGTTCCAGGTGACTTTTTCTCTTCTTTGTTGCTGCTGTGCTTTTGTGTTTTGCATGTGTTGAGACACTTTGTGCATTGGAACTGGTGCATCAAAGCGATGTGTTCTACAGCAATGTCTTGCAATTCTTTTGTGTTTGGCAGCTCTCAGTCCCTACAGATCGCAGTGGAATGGTTGCGTCAAGGTTTCTCGCTGCTGTGGGTGCGTGCGTAATACTTTTGTGTTTTCCAGCGGAGGGTCGTAAATCGCATTGTAATGGCAGCATGAAAGTTGCGAATGGTGCTTTGGCAGCAGTTTTTTCTTCATTTTGGCGCTGATGATTTTCCTTTTCAAAAGTGCTTCAAAATCGTCGTTTTTCTGCTTGGGCGTCGAGATCCGGTTTTGGAGCTGCAATTTGTGTAGCCGTTGTGCGAAATTCTGTTGTGCTTTGCAACTCAGTCTCTGCAGGACGCCGTGGAACTGCGTCCAGGTTCCTCGCTGCTGCGGCTGCCTGCAGAATACTTTTAATGCCTTTTGCTGCATGAAGGTTGCGAATGGTGCTTTGGCAGCAGACATTTCTCGATTTTGGCGCATCCTGTGTATATAGCAGCTTCTCTGTGTAAAAGCTTGCCGTGTGTAAAAGTTTCCCTGTGCAAAAGCTTGCTTTGTGTAAAAGTTTCTCTGTGTAAAAGCTTGCTGTGTGTGAAAGTTTCCCTGTGCAAAAGCTTGCTTTGTGTAAAAATTCCTCCGTGTAAAAGTTTGCTGTGTGTAAAAGTTTCTCAGTGTAAAAGTTTGCTTTGTGTAAGAATTTGCTCTGTGTAAAAGTTTCTCTGTGTAAAAGCTTGCTGTGTGTAGAAGTTTCTCTGTGCAAAGTTTCTCTGTGTAACAGTTTGCTTTGTGTAAAAGTTTCTCTGTGCAGGGGTTTTTCTGTGCAAAAGTTTGTTCTGTGAAAAGTTTGCTCTGTGTAAAATTGTCTCTCTGCAAAAGCTTCCCTGTGTAAAAGTTTGCTGTGTGTAACAATTTGCTTTGCGTAAAATCTTCTCTGTGCAAATGTTTGCGCTGTGAAAAGTTTGCTCTGTGTAAGATCTTCTCTGTGTAAAAGCTTTGTGTAAGAACTTAATGTGAAGTTCCTCTGTGTAAAAATTTGCTGTGTGTAAAAATTTGCTTTGTGTAAAAGTTTCTCTGCGTAAAAGTTTGCTCTGCGAAAAAGTTTGCTCTGTGTAGGCGCTTCTCTGTGTAAAAGTTTCTCTGTGTGAAAGTTTTTTTGTGTGTAAAAGTTTCTCTGTGCAAAAGTTTGCTGTATGTAAAAGTTTGCTGTGTGTAAAAGTTTCTGTGTGTAAGAGCCTCTCTGTGTAAGAGTTTGCTGTGTGTAAATGTTTTTCCGTGTGAAAATTTGCTCTGTGCGTAAGCGTCTCTGTGACAGGAGTTGGGAAGAGTTGGCCAGAGTTGAGAAGGTGAGAAGAGCTGAGATGAGCCGAGAAAGAGGTGAGATGAGTTGAGCGGAGATGAGAAGAGGTGGGAAGAGTTGAAGAGGTGGCAAGAGGTGAGAAGAGTTGAGACGAGTCGAAAAGAGTTGAGAGGAGTTAAGGCAAGGTGGGTAGAGGTGAGAGTCGTTGAGAAGAGTTGAGAAAAGCAGGGAAGAGGTGCAAAGAGTTGAGCCGAGGTGGGAAGAGATGAAACAACTTTGAGAGCGGTTGAAAAGAGTTGCGAAAATTGAGAAGAGCTGAGACGGTCTGAGAAGAGTTGAGAAGTGGTGGTCACAATTGAAAAGGGGTGGGCAAAGCGACGACGGATTCACAGAACAGAGTTGAGAAGCTTTGAAATTCCGCTGCATCTCCTATAGGCAAACCTTGTCTTTGGATCCTATAGCGTTACACTTCTTAAACCTGGAGACTTCCACCCGCCTTGCGCGGGATCTACTTGTATTTACAAAGTATATTTAAAATAAATTATCGTATACCGTATACATTAGGCAATTCTCATTGAGCGGGTCAGCAAAAATCCGAACTTCAAAACTTGGAGATGAGCCAGCATGATTCTCTTGGGCTATTTGGGGTCTATCCTGGTAAACTTTTGCGCAACCAACCCAGGGCCTAAAGACATGTGAAATGACCTCGCAGCATCCTTTGGTTCCCACTCTCTCTAGTAGGTTTTTGCACGCGATCAGGCACTTATGAGGTCCATGATGGGGACAATAATCACACACGTGACTGAAAAAATCCGGTAGAACACGCGTGTGTTGATTTCTATATCGGGTCCTGATTCTTTTTCACCTGACACAGCAATACGGCGGGCATGAATATATGCTTGAATGCATGTTTGGGACCTGCTGTCGGTCCATGGTTCCGTGAGGTGCAAGCCTTTCTTCGAAGACCCATGGCAGGGTCATGAAGACTTGATCAAAGAAGATTGGGAGGCCAGACTCGGCCAGACTTTCCACACGGCAAGAACCCTTTGTTCAAGATTTGAAAATGTGCTCTTGTCGGACCGACTTGTCGGATACCAGCGGACATTTAACTCAAATGCTTGGACTTGTTCAAGGTATATATGTTTTCTCAGGTTTGTGCGCCCACAAACATGGAATGCCAGTGTGGCAGGATTGCCAAGAGTAAATTTGATTTGATGACCAGTTAGTTTTAACATGTTTTGACGTTCTCAATTGGTTCTCTTTGGACTTGGTTTGTGCTAAGGCTTGGCTTGAGGACTTTAGAAGGCGTCGCAGTGGCCACGCAGAGAGTTCTTGGCCTCAGAGTTTTCAGCACTTTGGGATGTGGGATCCCTTTGCAGAAAAAACACATTCCTGCGTACCTGTTTAGATAGGGAGGGGTGGTGTTACAATGCCCAAACTTGAGGATGTTTACGATGCTTACCCAATGTTCGACAGTTTTTGGGCCTATATCAAGCCTATGCTGTGCCTTGTAAGCCCGATATTGAAATTCATGTGGGTACTCCCGGGAGTTGCCAGATAAACGCAACAATTGGATTCATGTTGAGCCTATGTTGAACCGATTTGGGGACTGTTGAACCTGGGCCCGTGCTTGCTTATTTTGTGGCTATACAAAGCCTATGCTGCGCCGATTTGGTGGCGGAAACACCTCAACCACAACTTGCTGTGGTTGAGGTGTTTTTGAGGTGTTTTTTTGGGGGCCAACCGTGACCTTATATTCAGCCCATGTTGGGCCACGATTCAGAACCGGACTTGTTTGTGGGTCTCAAGACAAGGTGCGCAGCGCAACATTGGGTTGTTTTTACAAAAAAAACATTTTGGCCTTTTGGTGCCTGGCGATGCACACCCTTGCCTTCCGAAAGTATGGCGACAGTCTGTCAGCATGGTGCAAGAAGTGGTTGTTTCAACGGCGCCTCCTTGGATCCAATTGGCGAGTCAACCTGGCAGATCATCGATGATCAACTGCATTCTATTGGGGAACTTGTCTGACAGCTACGCAAGAGTCACAGGCTAAATCCAGCAAGAGTACAAAGTTAACAAAAGAACATGCTCTAACTAAGCAATGATGATCACAACAAAAACGGCGGCCACGACCAGGGGCAGCAGAGAAATATACCATCAGCAACAGGAGTAGGAAAATACACAACATAATCAGCTTGGGAAGAGAAAGCAAGGCGATAAGTCGACAATGAGCCAGTAGAAAGCCGGATTGCAAGTTTGACACATACTGCCATACTGCAATTACTCACTCTTGATGGTAACGAGGAAGCCCAAAGCTTCACAAGACAAAACGAGTGGATATTGGAAGTTGAAAACGCCAGACTTCGCAGCGTCCTTGCAGCTGGCAATTGTGTCACCATGTCCTGACACCTAAGCCATGATCATACGCTTCAGTACCTTTGAATTTGTAAAAGCTCGTGAAGCCATGGTAAAGCAAACCATTTCATATGGGCTCTTGGGATCTCGTGGATCCTTTGACTCTCCGTAAGGTGCTATTCCTTTGCCAGTGCTGGAGAGGATGAGTTGGACAGCATGGTCCTGACAGTTGGAATTGACCCGAGTAGGCCTTGTGTCATTTAGGCTGGTCACGGCTGTTCACCAGGTCCAGTGTGAGTTGCCAGGAACTTTGCTGCAAGTGTTTTGACTCCTGCAGCAGTGGTTAGCACCTCAACTTCTGCTTGTGCGACTTCAAAGCCTTGTTTTGATTGTTTGCATAGGCAGACTCGGCAAACTCGGCAAACTTGAATCAAGACCATTTGATTGGGAAAGGGTCCAAGCTACCCAGCTACCCCCAAGGATGGCAACGGCAGATGCCAACGCTTGCCGTCGCAAAGGAGGCGTAGCCAAACCTGTATGAATGCATTTCGTGAGAAAAGCCTATGGCCTGCACACAGGGCATGAATGCAACGAACTTTGGAAAGGGCAATTAGGTGTGTTGCCATACTCGCCAGTGACTGTGATCTGTGCTGGCCATGTGGATCGGAGGCACGAAGACTCCGGTAGCAAGCCACGCTTGCCCACCAGTTGCCTCATTGAGACTCCCAATGCAGAGCTGACAATGGCGAGGCAGGAAAAAACATGTACCACAAATTGAATACTTTCAGTAGAAATGTTGATAAGGCATGATAAGGCTTTCAAGGTGCCTAGATATTGATTTCTGCATATTGATTTCTGCATGTTGATTTCTGCAAGGTAGTAGGAGTGACGCAACGGCAGCCTCACATTAATTATATAAGGATAGCTAAAGAAACAATGGTCTCATCACTGCTATACGCCAGGTATACAAGTTGATACAAACTATACAAGACTACGACACACTGCAGGGCGACAATACAAGAACATTCATTCTATGCTTGATGCTAGTGCAGGCTTCGAAGCAGTTTGAAAGCCACACCTCAGTCACACAACACCAGTCCCCACCACATACACACACCCTCAAAACCCCCCATCACCAGCCACCACACCCCACAGTCACACCTCAGTCTCAACATCAGTGTCCCATCGTTTTCCTTCTCTTGGGCCGCTGAATATTGCGGAAGGTCATCAGGATCAGGGTTCATATTATATACATACAGTACATACATTGATAGGATAACACATTCTGCAAAGACTCGAAGATTAGACTCGGCCACACCTCGGCCCGGGTTCGTAGAGCTGCTGCCAAGGCCCGCGCGAATTTCTCGCGGATCCAATGTCAATGTCATCCTGTTAGGCAACACATCCACGCGTGCGCGCACATGTGCCTTACTGTTTGTTAGTTTGTTCGTCTATCTAACTGTCTGTCTGTTTGTTTGTCTGTTTGTCTGTATGCCAGTAGCATTGTCTAGCCAAGTATGTATCTATCTGTCTACCAAGCTATCCATCTACTTATTTATTCATGTCTGTCAACCTGTTTGTCCACCTGCCTGTCTATCTATGAGTATGTATGTATATTGTACATCTACGTATGTGTGTAATGCAATGCACTGCACTGCGATGTAATGCAATGCAATGCAATGCACTGCATGCAATGCACTGCATTGCACTGCACTGCCTGGTAATGGAATGCAATGCCATTCAATGTAATGTGATGTAATGTAATGTAACGCAATGTAACGCAATATATGTATGTCTATATGTTAGGCTGTCGCTCTAACACGTTTTCTTTATCCATTACTGCTCCCTTAACTTTCCATTACTGCTCCCTTAACTTTCCATTACTGCTCCCTTAAATTTTCCATTGCTGCTCCCTTAAATTTTCCATTACTGCTCCCTTAACTTTCCATTACTGCTCCCTTAACTTTCCATTACTGCTCCCTTAAATTTTCCATTACTGCCCCCTTAAATTTTCCATTACTGCTCCCTTAACTTTCCATTACTGCTCCCTTAAATTTTCCATTACTGCTCCCTTAACTTTCCATTACTGCTCCCTTAAATTTTCCATTACTGCTCCCTTAACTTTCCATTGCTGCTCCCTTAACTTTCCATTGCTGCTCCCTTAAAATTTTCCATTACTGCCCCCTTAACTTTCCATTACTGCCCCCTTAACTTTCCATTACTGCTCCCTTAAATTTTCCATTACTGCTCCCTTAACTTTCCATTACTGCTCCCTTAAATTTTCCATTACTGCCCCCTTAACTTTCCATTACTGCTCCCTGCAATTTTCCCAGGTCTCTATCTTCCATACCCCTCTCAATCTCCTTTCCACTTTCTCGCATCCCTCCCAATATACTCCCTTAACTTTCCATTACTGCCCCCTTAACTTTCCATTACTGCTCCCTTAAATTTTCCATTACTGCTCCCTTAACTTTCCATTACTGCTCCCTTAAATTTTCCATTACTGCCCCCTTAACTTTCCATTACTGCCCCCTTAACTTTCCATTACTGCTCCCTTAACTTTCCATTACTGCTCCCTTAAATTTTCCATTACTGCTCCCTTAACTTTCCATTACTGCTCCCTTAACTTTCCATTACTGCTCCCTTAAATTTTCCATTACTGCCCCCTTAAATTTTCCATCACTGCTCCCTTAACTTTCCATTACTGCTCCCTTAACTTTCCATTACTGCTCCCTTAAATTTTCCATTACTGCCCCCTTAAATTTTCCATTGCTGCCCCCTTAACTTTCCATTACTGCTCCCTTAAATTTTCCATTACTGCTCCCTTAACTTTCCATTACTGCTCCCTTAACTTTCCATTACTGCTCCCTTAACTTTTTCCATTACTGCTCCCTTAACTGGGGGAAGTTAAGGGAGCAGTAATGGGGCCCCTGGGGGCCAATTTGGAAGCCAATTTGGAGGCCAATTTGGGGACTCGAAATCATGGATTTTTGGCGAATTTTGGACCCCCAAACGGACCCCAAAACCTCCATTACTGCTCCCTTAACTGGGGGAGTTAAGGGAGCAGCGAGGGAAGGGAGCAGTAATGGTTTTTACAACCTAATTCCCATTCCTGCTCCCTTAACTTTTTCCATTACTGCTCCCTTCCCGGGGGGGGAGTTAAGGGAGCAGTAATGGGGCCCCTGGGGGCCAATTTGGGGACTCGAAATCGTTTCACCAAATTCGGCATAGCATTTTGGCTTTGGTAGCTTACGGTCCCAGACTTTGCCCTTGACTTGATGGAGAAAGTTAAGGGAGCAGTAATGCAGAAAATGGAGAAAGTTAAGGGAGCAGTAATGCAGAAAATGGAGAAAGTTAAGGGAGCAGTAATGCAGAAAATGGAGAAAGTTAAGGGAGCAGTAATGCAGAAAATGGAGAAAGTTAAGGGAGCAGTAATGCAGAAAATGGAGAAAGTTAAGGGAGCAGTAATGCAGAAAATGGAGAAAGTTAAGGGAGCAGTAATGCAGAAAATGGAGAAAGTTAAGGGAGCAGTAATGCAGAAAATGGAGAAAGTTAAGGGAGCAGTAATGCAGAAAACGGAGAAAGTTAAGGGAGCAGTAATGCAGAAAATGGAGAAAGTTAAGGGAGCAGTAATGCAGAAAATGGAGAAAGTTAAGGGAGCAGTAATGCAGAAAATGGCGAAAGTTAAGGGAGCAGTAATGCAGAAAATGGCGAAAGTTAAGGGAGCAGTAATGTAGAAAATGGAGAAAGTTAAGGAAGCAGTAATGCAGAAAATGGAGAAAGTTAAGGGAGCAGTAATGCAGAAAATGGAGAAAGTTAAGGGAGCAGTAGTGCAGAAAATGGAGAAAGTTAAGGGAGCAGTAATGCAGAAAATGGA